CCTCCGCCGCTAGGATACACCTCTTCTTCTCCGTTTAGCGAAATTCAAAACCCTATTGCAGGCACTGAAACATTATCCGCTGTATGTAGAGTGTAAACCCATCCAAACATCTTATTACAAGACAAAATGCACCAAGAAAGGTCGAGCTGCTGGATGGTAAGAGAGGCAAATCGAGAAAAGTCCGGCCTAAGTCGATCCACCTGGCGGCTTCCAAAGCCTGATTGAAACTGCATTTGCTATTTCGAGCAGTTTGTTAATTTCTTCTATTTTTACAAATTTAATTTGTTTAACTTTTTTGTACAAAATTCCTCGATGTTTTTGTCAAATTTATGCATAATATCTTCATTATATGCAATTAATTTCATTTTTTTTCTTCGTCATTTTTGTGTATCTTCCCACTGGGTGGTTTTTGCAGCTGATAAGGTGCAATGGACTGGACGTTTGTACGTAAAGCCTGGGAAAAGTGGACTTCCGGTAAGAAATTTGAGCTTTCTAGCTAGTCGCTTAAATTATTTTTATGAGCATCCATAAACAGATACTTGTATACAGATGGTGCGTGTGCTTTGGTACTGAAATTTGGTTTTGGAAACTTGTAGCTGAGCCATTGACGGCTGCTTTGCTCAAGGTTGCAGAAAGCCCTGGGCGGTTGCCCACAGCCTAAAGTTTAGAGTGCCTACGCCGTGCCTAGGCGGGCTAGGTGTTTTTTTTTTTTAATAATAATTTTTTGATATAATTAGAAGAGAATTAAAAAGATGTAAAACAACTTTAAAAATTATAAAACAAATAAAAAATTAAATATTTTTTTATTCATTATTATATATAAAGAGTAGAATTTAAGAAAGTTACTTGGCTTATAATGTTTTTTTAATATAATTTTTATAATAAATTAAATGACATTATTTCATGCTAAAAAATTAATAAAAACATTTGCTCAAGCACTTTAGGTACCACTAAGCACACTTAATAGTGCTGGACGTATTTAATTGATTTAAGTAGTGTAAACCGTATTGAATTTCTGTAGGCGAAATGATATTACTTAAAGTCTAAGCTGATGCGGGCGAAATGACACCGCCTAAACACATTTTTTACAACACTAACTTTGTTGATTTACTATGATAAGACTACTCCATCTCGCTTGTTGTCTATCATGTAATAACGAATTATGATTGATACACCTTCCAGTTTAATACAATTAAAAAAATAAAAATTTCAATTATAGATTTTAATGATTAAATCGATTAATGTTATCAAGTGTGTTGAACTACAAAATGTACTAATCATTTTCCAATAAGGTTTCGGCTGTTCGTGCTTTTATGTTAGCCTGGTTATGATTTGCAAGCTTTACTCGAAAGCAATATCATGGTTGGCATAATTAATATACTTATTTTGACAGTGATGACTTATGATAGAATTGGTTTACAACATGTCAACATGGATTTGATTAGCATATTATTAGGGGTGGGTTTAGTTCTACAAAATTGCCTCTTTTAAAGGAAGGTGATTAAATACTCAAATATGAACATTTGGTTCTCGCATTAATACATCTATGGAAATTCAGTGTGGAGACTTGTTTTCTTTATGTAACTTGAGTGTCGAAGGAAAAGCTAAAGTTATGAGCTCATTTAAGTGTTACATGAATAGACGGGTGAGTTGACTTTTGGATTTGTGATTGATGGTTTTTACATCTCACATTTTGTGTATCTGCGTGTGAAATTGTTTCAGATTATCTTAGCTCCATTTATTGGTTTCTGTTTTCTTGACATGGATTAAAGTAGAAAACGTGAATGGTAATCATATTGAAAGCATTTGCTGTTTATGGTGAAAGATAGTTTAAGGGTTATAACTTATAAGCCCATTCAAATTTATTTACCATAATAATAATCATAGGAAACTTGTCCTTGGTTGTGGTTGAGTAAGCATAGCTTCTGAAATGATTCAAGTGATTATCAAGTGCTACTGATGGCATAACTTTCAACTCTACTAAACACTGATGATGGAAATATTTCTTCTTCAATTCATGTTCTATGTCCATGTTTAATAAAAGCTGCTAAAAACTTTCTTCTTATAGTCATTTCTTATTATCACTATCATCATTACCATCATTCTCTTTCTTTATTTTTATCCATTTTTTTGCTCGAACCAAATCTGAAGGAGTGGTCACAGTGCTGAACAAGAGGGAGTGGTAGAGGTCAATCCAATTGAACTGAGTGAATTTATCAGTTTCATCGAGTGCAACAAACTACAAACTGATAGCTTCATTATCGGGCAGAACCAATGTAAGGTTTGATGAGATACATGAGCTTGTTTTTGTTTCATGCATAATTCAGCAAAGCAATTGCCTGATGTAAGTTTTGTTGCTGTTATGTATTTTGATGATAGATATGGTTACTTCAATTCGTGAAAATTGGTTCTCAGCAAGATGCTTGAATTCAACAAAACCTGCAGGTGAGGGTGCTATTGTTATGCAGACATCAACACAACTCTCCTCTTGGTTGCACCGTAAGTGCATTTAGCAAATGAACATGTGCACGACATGAGAATCTTGTGGAATTGATTCACAGACCATCTCTATTTTTGCTTACCTTTCATCCTCTTGTGTCAGATGCAATGACTCAGTTGGCTCATCATCTCATACTATAATGGCTGTAGATCAGTTTGCATGGCTTCTAAGTCGAAAAACACCTTCAACTACCTCAATTCATTTTATTCTGTTATGTATTAACACAATTTCCTCCCTCGTTAGTATAATAATTTCACATGGATTTTTGAAACAGAAATGAATTGCAATTATTTAAATCAACTTTTAGAAACTATTGTTGGCTTTTTTACTTGCTGCCGTCCAGTGTCCATTTTCATCGCATTTAAAAAAAACCTACTTGTCCCTTAAATAAACACCTTGCCCTGTAAATAAGCACCTTCCATTCCAAGTCCTAACGTTTGAAGAATCTTCTGTAATCTTACCAGGCTGATCAAAGAATAACGTGGCCCCTTATACTACGTGTCATCTCATGAGTGGTTCACGTCAAGTGTTCTTCCAAGGAGACGAAAACAAATTCCTCCCGAGAAACAGGCATGGAATACGCCGTGTGTTGCTTCCATCTTACATAAAAACATTTCTCACGCCCAGACAGACAGGGACACTCACTCACTCTCCTCCCTTTCCTTTCCCTTCCCAATAAAGTCTCCTTTCCACATCTCCTCCTCTTCCCTTCTCTCTCTTCAAGTTGCTCTGTCTCCTTCTCAATCCCATCACCCCCCCCCAAAAAAAAAAAAACCTGTTGTCTCCTTTAATTACCCACTTAATTAATTTTCAGTAATCCCAAAATCTCCCTGCACCTACTACTGTTCTCAGATCTGAACAAGAACCCATCAATGCAAAAACGTTTTTTTAAAATTTTGTATTTAGTGGCTGTAATGTAATTTGATTGCCATTTTGAGGGTAAATGTGTTTTAAAAAACCAATTGCATGTGGTATTTTCATCGGATTGAACGGGTTGTATGTATGAGTGGCGTTGAAGGCGGGGCAAGCTTGGGGTTCGGTTGCCTGGCTGGCGGCAATGGCGTAAATTGTAGTGACGAGTTTGACGGTTAAAAGAGAGCAAGGGGATGGGATCTGGTGGGAGCAAGGCGTCTTGCGGAGATTCGTTGTCGTCGGCATCGTCAACGTCGTCGGGGACGAGCGGCGGTGGGGGGCGGAGGAGGAGATCTAAAGGGAAGAGTAAGGTTTTCCAGTCCTGTCTAGGGCCACCATCTGGATCTCGTGAGTCTGACGTTGACGAACAGGTCCCGTCTCTCTATCACCTTTCTTTGTTTTTTATCTTTTTTTTTTTTGTTTTAATTTCTTTCTCTTTCTCTTCAATGTAGCTATCTGATGATGTTTTTCAGGTGAAAATTGACCTTTGCAGAAAGGTTACAGTTGAACAATCGGATGAGAATAGGCACTGTGTATCTTCCCATGCCGACCTTGATGACTGGCGCCAGGCCGCCGCCTCCTCGAGAGCCGGTAGCAGCTCTGCCTCTGATGCTCCGAATCGATTTCTTTCTCGTTTTAACCTCATCCCCGGTAATGTCAGCTTCCGACTGAGCAGAGCTGCTAGTTTGGGGTCGTCCAGGGCTTATCCTGTTTCTCCGACGAGTCTCGCGATGTTGAACGATGAAAACGAGATTCGTCTGCAATCAGGGACGGCGAGGAATTTCGTTGATGGAATTTCAAATCAACATCCTAGGACACTGATGCAGCGTCCTGAAGATTCTTCTCGAGATATTCCAGCATCTAATTGTTCAAGCAGTTTCCATGGGAATCTGTCAATTTCTCCGACTAACGAGGGAGCCGGAGGTGATGGCAGCACCAGAGTGGCCGTTGATGTGAACTCACATTCTCCTAGGGTTTTTAATGAACTTGATGGTATTGAGAATAGGTTTACAGATAGGCGGATTGGAGGTCGGGAGCCCGCCGACCAGAATGTAAGTTTTAGTCGGACATTGAGTGTTGGAAGACTTCGTGACCGTGTTCTTCGTCGATCATCGCAATCTGACCTTGCATTTTGCCCTGTACAACAAGGGAGAGAAGCGAGAGATGCTCGGCAGCGTAGTGAAACTCTGACGTTGAGAGGTGAGACAAGGGTGTTAGCATCCCCTCCACCGTCATCTGCTCCCGCTGCATCCAGCTCGTCTGGTTCCATTTTCAACATGGAGAACCATGAGGTAGAAGCTTCAAGGTCAAGAGAGGCCAGGTATCATGATTTACTGGAACATAGATCAAATTTCCTTGAAAGGAGAAGAAGAATACGATCTCAGGTTTGTAATCTTCTTACTGTTCAGTTATTGAGGCTGTTTGTAAGACCATTACCTGGAAAGAACACAATAGGACTGAGTGGCTTATAATTCTATTTCTCTGTTGAAAATTAGAAGGATATACTTTAGACTAGCATTATACTAGTTGCCTGTGTGAAACTGTGAAAGTTAGTGCATGATTCCTATTCAGATTCTGTCTGCCTATGATATATGTTGTAAATTACCCTTTTATCGTGGTCAGTTAGTGACTTGACTATTGCTGCTATAGGTCCGTGCTCTTCAGCGACTAGGAAGTCGTTTTGAGAACTTGTCTGGACATGAGAGGTCTTGTATTTTATCTGGTCAGCATAGAAGTGGTCGATGCACTTGTCGTGTAAATAATAGGGATTTAAATTCAAATGATGACACCAATGCTAGGGCTAGCATTTCAAGAATTGTCATGTTAGCTGAAGCTTTATTCGAGGTAATCAGATTTTCATTCTGTTCACTGTTCTGACCTTTTCTGATATTATTTCTTCCTGTTTTGTGATTTATTATCTGTTTTTGAGTTGAACCTTTTCCTATTTTAATTAGGTTCTGGATGAAATTCACCAGCAATCTGTGGTTTTATCCTCCCGACCTTCTGTGTCTTCAATTGGATCTGTTCCTGCACCTAACGAAGTCGTGGAATCTTTGCCTGTCAAGATATATGCTAAGTCACACAAGCTTCAGACTGATGAGGCTGCACAGTGAGTATTTATGCTCCCCTGCTGTGTCCTGTATGCATGGTTTAAACCATTGGTGAAGTTGATTAGTTCACTTGATCAACTCGTAGGGAGATAATTTTAACAATGATAGTCTTCTGTTCTTTTACTTTTAGTAAGTACTAACTTCATATTATTTCAAGTATTTATGATAGGCATTTTTGCATCTGGCTTGCTCATTAGTGAGCTGTCATACACTTGGAAGTTTTTCTCTCTCTTTTCATTTTTCTATTTAAACACTAAGTCAAGTTTTATTAATTTCTTTCTAAATCTTCTGTACATAATTTGCTTTTGCACTTACTTTCCTTAATTTCCTTCTTTTGTCTTATCGTTACTTGTTATAATTAACAGATGTTACATATGCCTTGTGGAGTATGAGGATGGGGATAGCCTGCGGATACTACCCTGCAACCATGAATTTCATAAATTGTGTATAGACAAGTGGCTGAAGGAAATTCACAGGTATGAGATGGTTCTCTCTTATTCTGTTTTCTCTTGTTAATTTAAGTCTTAGCTTGTAGCTGACCACAAGTGAGGATCTCAAGTATGGCTGACTTGGGTGTTGAGGACTTGAGAATATTCAACTCCATATAGGAAATGCTTAAAATCCTGCAGATTGACTTTTTTAGATAGTTTATGGATGTGAAGAAGTTTGGGCTTAAGTTGTCTAGAAAATAGCACATGTACAGGTTACTTAAAGGTCAGCCAAAAAGGAAAGGTTAATTGAGGACTTTGAGAGAATCCTTGGATTTACATTTTCACTGGCCTAGAAAACTATGTTTACATGAGGGGCAGGCAGGCAGCTTCAACTAAGTAACCTGAGGTGAAACCTCGAGTTTGAGTTTGTTCATTGTTGGCTTGATCGCTAACTTTGATGGTTGATTAGATTATCTAACAGCTCATCGTTTTTTCTATTCTATTTTATTTTTATTTTCATTTTCATTTTTTTATGGTGGTGAAAGCTAACAGCTCATCTTAGGTAGGTTGAATTCTAGGTTTTTATTGTAACCACTACCTCAAGTGTTGGAAATGTAAAAATGAAAAGGGAAAATGTGGGGTAGGTTTCTGTGTTCAATTTTACAAATTTTTTCAGCTGAGTGTTGCCTGATGCGAGCTTAAGGAGTTGTTAGCTTTCATGCATTTATGAAAGTATTTTTTCCTACTATCTTATTGTGGCATTGCCTCATATGGCAGAGGGGATGAAAGGATATTAAAGCTGGATTGTTCTTTCTCTGTCTATAGTGTTACTATCACTATTATGACACTAATTTTTGTCCTAAGGCTAACCGATGGTGGCTTAAAGGAGCCATGTTTTTTTAGTTGCCTGTGTTGTATCATTGAGGGTCATTATTGATTGTTGTCTTCTTTGCTGAATAGAGCCCTGCTCTATTTGTACAGTTGCTGGATGCATTTTCTAGGATGACAAAGAATCATATCATGGCCTTCATATGCTTCAATTTTTAGCTAGGTCGTCATATTAACTTTGCCAAAAGAATGAAAAAAAATCATGATAAGGGATCATGTCATAGCCTCATAAGCTTCGATTTTTAGCTAGATCATCAAATTAACTTTGCCAAAAGGATGAGAAGAAATCATATCTTTTGGCTTTGGAGCCAAATTGAATTCTCTTTCACCCAAGAAAAAGGTATATGAAATGAAAAAGAATCATAGCTTTTTGTCCTAGGAGCCATTGAATTCCCTTTCACCTTGGAGAAAGCTACATGTTCTGTTCCCCATGAATTTCATTCCATGAAATATACTTGCCACAATACCTTACTTTTTGACTCTTTTGTTGTTAATGTATGCTGATGGTGTTGACATATCCAGGCTGGCAACAATGGAGATATATTGGTAATGAATTGTGCTGCTACCAAAAATGATGAGAGTTTGCTAACCTTTTTTTTGGCATGCAGGGTTTGTCCTCTTTGTCGTGGGGATATTTGCAGATCCGATTCATTACCTGCAGAGAGCTAGGGTCCCAGTTTGCTTTAAGTTTGAAGAACATGGATAACTCTCAGATATTCCATTATTCTCTTCGGCAAAAAGATACTGGAGGCAAATTAAATTGGAAGAAGAAAAGATAATCTTGAGCATGCTGCATTAGGAAGTTGAGACTTTTTCTGCTAGCAAGCTCCTCTATTGCTGATTGCTTTTGACAGCACTGCAGACTAGAAGTTGGTAGAAATGGACTGAACCTGCAATCTGCAGTGTCCCTTGCCACGGGAAAATAGAAAAAGGGTGGGTTCACATTGTTCGGAGACAGAGGGAGAGATTAATTGTTTATTTTCTTCTTTTTTGACCAACAAATATTATTATTTTTCTCCCCCTTTTATCACAGGCAAGGCAAAGCAACCCCTTTTCATGATTCCAATTTCAAAGTGAAAACAACCAATGGATACTTGATAAGGTGCTATAGATCTCCTCTATCCCCCTTCCATAATTTTTTATGTCATGATGCTGAGGTTCTTTTTTCGAAAAGAAATAATCTGGAAATTCATCTTTTTGTTTTTATTTGTGTGAAGCAAGTTATTAAAAATTACTAAATATATATGTATGGACGGCTTAGGATTTTTTTTTTTTTTCAATCAATTATACCTAAACATTTAAGGTTTACATACCAACTATTAAATCCAAAGATTCAGTTGATGGTAAGTATAGGATTTGATGGTATTTTAAATATATAAATTTTTAAAAATTATTTCTAGTATTTTAATTAACAACAATGATTTTCCGCAATTTAGAAAGCAATTTGGTTGTGCTTGTGTAACTGGCACAGGGCAGTTGAGCGGCCCAAAACCGAACCCATTCTGCTATTCCGATTTCCCAGTTCTAACATGTCATTTCAAACACC